GGCACGTTACCCCCAGACTAGCGAGTGTGCTCCGGGAGAGGGGTCGGCCGGACATAAGGCGCCCCTAGGGAGGCATTCGGAGCCTGGAAGGTGGTCAGGCGCAGGGAGGTGGGCGGCTCAACGCAGGAGCACCCCCTACTGGCCCGCCTCACGTGGTGCAAACAGCGGAGGGATACAAATACCCAGCTGTGTTCCTGAGGTGGGATCTCTGCACCCGCCACAGGGAGCGTTCATCAGAGCAGGGATGAGATCCCAGCCCTCATTACTCCCAGACACGGCATTTAGCTACAAGACTACCCTCCTCCCTTTATTAGCTGTACACGCAGTGCACACTGGCCAGGAGGCAGCACACCTATTTAATTAAAGTGCCTGGTTGTGAGGTATTTGGCTTCTATACTTAGGAACCTCTCACAACCTGCTTCATTAGCAGAATTTCATGGTCTGTGCTATGGAGTATCCATCCCAATTTCATATCACCCGTAGCTTCATTAACACACAGTTTATCTATTCCCTCTTCGGGAACACAGTCACGAAGATGTAAAGCCGGAACAAAGCTTGCTGGGGTTTCTGCAAGGCTAGCCAGCTGCCTAGTCCAAGCCACTGCCAGCAGCAGCTCCCCCTTTTTTCCCACTGGGTTCAGAGGCAATACAGATAGGTTTCTTATCCAAGGCCAATCTAAATGGATGGATTGGATTTTTAAGGTAAGATTCTGCAAGACCATATCTAAGATCTCAGTCTGCAGCTGGCCATGTTTCCGTCAGCCATTCACTCTGTAATCCTTCCAAACAAAGGACGCAATCAGGTTTCTCTGGCTGGATTTACCCTCTCTGACCTGCCTGGGTGCTGACCTTTGCTCAGGCACCTTGCTAACTTTTGCTTCTCTTCACATATACTTAGAATGGCTCACCCAAACTCATTTTCTCTCTCAGATTAGCAAAAGCTCATGATGCTCTCCCTGCTCACCTGCTGCTGGGCTGCATTGTGCTGAGCGTCATGGAGGAAACCTTTTCCTGTGAGGCAAGCATGTGGCCAGCAATGCTCCCAACGTGCACATTTGGTGCTCAGTGGAGCTCCCGTCACCAGCACAAACAAAATGACCCAGTCACACCCACCTGCACGATGACTACAAGTGTTGGAGCTCAAAACGCTTTACCTTACTCAGCTGCGTTA